TTTTTTATTTAATTAATTATAATTACAATTTTTATGATATAAATATTTAATCTTAATTTATATTCCATTAGATTCATTAAATTATTTAAATATTTTTTGTATTTAAAAATTAATTATTTATGTTAAAAATTAAGAAGTTTTACTTGCAAATGTAGCACTGAAAACTAATTTAAAGAATAATTTGAAGTAGTTTTTGGAGCTGTTATTTCAAACTTTTTTGAGTTATTTTGGCTTGTCTTCTTTGTCATTTCATTGCCTACATATATTTAGGAGAAAATGAGAAACAATACACTGAGAAGAAGGGTAAGGTTATAAGTTTTATTGTTAAACAAATTTGATTGAGTTTTTACATGAAGATTCAAATGTTTATCAATCAAGCAAGTTTTTCTTGAACTCCCTTATGGTGATCCTTTCTCAAATTCTAAAAGTAAAGTTTGTTAAGTTCTTTTAATTTGTATTTTATGCAATCATTTAAAGAGATTTGAGTATTTTCATTTATTGGTCATTGGCTTTTCTCACCACCAAAATGTTGAAACACTAGAAGGTATTCTTTTGTAGGAGGATTAGTGTTGCCTCACCCATTAAGAATTGGTGTTGAATAGCATTCGCTCATTAAGGAGCATGTGATCATGATGATTTTTTTTATAGGCTCAAGAAGAAAATGAGTTTTTGCTAATGGTGGCTAGTGTTAATGAACTTTAATATGACTGATGTAAAACCCGAAAAATATCGATCATCAGCGTTGCACGCATTTTGATGAGCCGCGACGAATGTAGGCAAAATTTCAAAGTCATCAGAATTCAACGTAATAAATTTTATAAAATAGTATGCAAAATTCTGAGCAAATCGGTATAAAAATCCATATTGGATTTCGCCTAATTTGGAAGTTAAAATTCATAGAAGTTTTATTATGATAAAAATACCCTTAATAGTATTAATACGAAATAATGCATGAAAAGGGGCATTTAAGACCTTATGCTTTGAACCCTAGCTCCCACTCTTATTAGGGGACTGAAATACATTCGGTCCCCATTTCGTTCGTGCGGCCGAACCGAGCGGAAGAGGGAGGCGACGAGAGAGGCAAACGGCGACCCTAGGGGCGGATTCTGGCGGCCCATCGTGGAGGAAATTGTAGGGAAGACTAAGAGAAGGTTAAGGTAAGTTGTATTTAAGTATTTTCTCATTCTTTTGTGAAGTTTTCTCTAAGGGGAAAATCTAGGGTTTGAGGGAAACTCCAAATTTCTTTAAGAAAATGATAGAGAAGGTTTAAAGGATGACTTTTAGTATAAAAATGAGATGTTTCCCTAAAATTTTTATATTTAAAAAAATTAGGGTTTTATCCGATTTTTGTATCCTTCCAAAATGACTTTGTAAGAAAGCTTCTTAATGGCATTAGAAAGCTTCTATATGAAGTTAATTTAATTTTATGATGAAATTTCAAGTTCCAAGAATTATGGCTTTGTAAAATCATGAAAATTTTTAAGTATCATAGTTCCAAATAGACTTAGGAAGGTTTTTAGAGGCAAGAATTAGGATTTTTGCACAAAAGGCTATTTTTCTAATTTTTAAATTAGGATTAACCAAAAAATTTATTATATTTTAATTAATATTTAAGTGTAAGGGAGGTTCTTTATGCATGTGTTATGCAATGGACATGAAGGAGGTTTCCAAAAGGTTAAGATTATGATTAAATCCCAATTTTAGAGAAAATAGGAATGAGATTAATTATGAATTGGGAAAAGGGTTCAATTAGAAGTATAAGAATAGTGTATGGATGAGTTCTTTATACTCATAGTTTAGGATTTTGAGAGGTTTATGTGGAAACATGTGATATTTACACATTATGTTATGTTTCTTTTAGATAGATTGTGTAAAGGAAAGAGTTCGTTAGGACGTTTGCCAAATCACACCGTAATGAGGTAGGTAAAATGAAATTCTTTTAAATTTGAAAAATTCTTTAAATGCAATCATGTATAAAGTTATTTCTTTTTAAATGCAACTTGTACTCTCATATGAGGCTTAACATCTTCTTACATGAATGCTTTTGAACACATGATACAAATGCAAATCTCTCAAGTAATGATGATAGAAAGTGTAAAACTTATGTTTCTTTTACATATAATGCATATGTCTTCTTATACATGTAGTATATATGATCATCTCTCTCTTTTCATATAATTATGCAAACATGTAACATCATATGAGAACACTAGGCCATACACATGAATGACATACTAAAGTCTCTTTTACGAATAAATAAGGAATGTTTGCATGTGCATGTTTGATACGGAGTATCAATGGTAAAGGGGCTCTTTTGAGCCAATGGTAAAGGGGCTCCTTTGAGCCAAATGATAAAGGGGTTCTTTAGAACCAAATGGTAAAGGAATGACCAATTAAGTGTAGTTGATTAGTACAAAACAAATGATACTTCCACGACGGATGATTAATATTATGTTATTATGATATCATGCCATTATGTTATATGTATATGAGGCATCAAATGAATCATGAATGCTTAATGAGAAAGGATTGCAAGCGGTAAGGTCTGGTTGAATATGTTTGTGGTCCAAAGTTTAAACCATTAAAGTAAGCTTTAAATTCGTCCAAATTTTCTACTATAATAAAGTCTAATAAAACCTAACTAAACTATTTTCATCATATCAAATAATTTAAAAATTAGTTATTACATTATTTTAGAAATTAAAATATAAAAATATTAAAAAATATTTATAATTATATTTAAAAATCCTAAAATTCAAATGGCATGCGGCATGCGGCGTTCGCCATGCGCCCACATGACGCAAATGACGCGCACCAACTTGAACATGTGTGTCGCACCATGGAGTTGGCACCGTAGGTGCGCCGCGCCGCTCCATGTGTCATGACGCGCACCATTGACAAATATGAGTGAAAATTAGACGAAGTTGCAGACCGATTTTGTGTTGAATCACGTAAAATACTTGCCCAAATTGCTCTTTAGCTTAGGTTACTTTAATTTTTCATTTATTATTATTGATTTATTAAATGTTTAGTTGGTGATTCATTTCCTTAATGCTCATGTGCTCTTTGTAAAGAGTTAAACATATATGCTATGCACCTGCTATGAACGAAGTTGTATGCTCTCACATCTATCATAAATCTTTATACACCATCATCATCTTGTTCTAGGAACTTGTGTCATGTTTGGTGTTTGTTGAATCAAGAGATCATAGGCTTGTGTAGAAGTGTTAATACATTTATATTGAGCACGCTTGTTACAACACTCACACAATTAGCTTAGCCTGGTATTCAACACCATTGTGCACTTCTGTGCTTTCTAACTTTAGTTGACTTTATTGTTCACTCTATCTTATGCACTCACATTTCATGTTCTTGCGTGTGATTAATCATTTGATTACTTTATTCAGATATAATACTCATGCTTAGTGTGTGAATCTGAGTTCGGAAGAATTTCAAAGAAATTCTAAAAGTGCCCATGCACACTTAATTTAACACTCCACTCCCCCTCTTTATCTGGCATTCACTTGTCAAACAAATAAATTACCCACCGCCCAGACAACTAGATCACAAAATAAAGAGTAAAAAATCATTCTAAAACCCTTCCATTACTACGAGAAAGTTTTATTGAGTCATTTGCATGCTTTCCCTGAAGCCCACTAGATAATTTGAAATATCCTTAGGGGCACTAACATTTTCATTTGGCTACGCGTGAGCATGAAGAGTGATTATTGTGAACATATTCTAAAGAACTCAATAAATTTCAAATTGTTTCCAACATGCAACTCTAAATCCCAACCAAAACACACGCCCTGAAAATTCAAGCAAAGAAAAGAAATAGCCTAAGGACAGTAAATGCTTCATAAATAATCCCCATTGAGCATGCTAGTTACAACACTCATCACAATTAGCTTAGCCTAAATTCAACACCATCGTGCACATGTTTATTTTATACTTTTTAGTTGAGTTTGTTGTTCACTATGTAGTATGCACTCATATTACATATTTGTGGGTGTGATTCATTGTTTGATTAATTTATTCATATATAATATTCACGTTTACTGTGTGAATTTGAGTTAGGACAAATTCAACGAAATTCTAGAAGTGCCCGTGTGCACACTAAAACAAATTACCCACTGTCCAAAGACTCCAAAGAACTATAAATATTGCTAAATGGAGAATAAGAAAATCATTCTAAAAATTCTTCCATTACTTTGAGAAATTTTTGTTGAGCCATTTGCATACTTTCCTTAAAACGCACTTGCTAGCTTGAGATACAATTTGAGCACTAACATTTTCCTTCGGCTATGCGTGAGAACATATTATAAAGAACTCTATCAATTTTAAATAGTTTTCAACATGCAACTCTAAATCCCAACCAAAACACATGTACAAAAAAAATCAAGCAAAAGAAAAGAAATGGCCTAAGGTCAATAAAAACTTCATAAGTAACCCCGCTGATTACTATATGAATAAAATGCATTTCAAACGTAAAGGAAAACCTGAATCCTGAAGAGTACTGGAATGTTATCGGTTGATAAATATTCCTGTGCCCATTTTCACGAGCATGGGAGTGTCCATTATCAAAGACAGCAGGATGATCATTCCCAAGAGAAGAAGGATAGCCATTTTCACGAGGAGGTGAAGCAATATTCATGCTCTCTTGTAAAGCTCTGGCAAGTTGCTCATCTTCATCCAAGTGAGACCCAGTATCTAAAATTGATGGAAAGGGCTACAAAGTGATCAATCATATAAAATCTTTGCATGCAATTAATTTTAGGAACTTACAGCAGGGTAAAAAAAGAAAGAAGGTATCACAGTGGAACTTTACTGGCAATGGTATTTTGACAAAAAATGGTTTTGCAGAGTAAAAGAACAAAAAAACAAAGTTAAAAAATCAACATCACCAAACTTGAGTTCAATTAAGAGAAAATATCTGATTTTTTTTCTCAGAAGCTCAGACAATAAAATAAACCCAGTGTATTGGCATGACTTCTATTTCACAAGAGAAATAAAAGAAAGAATAATTAATCCTAGGTTATTGTTAGATTACAGACATATTACTTACCAATCTCCTTTGCCTTATTTTGTTCTTCTTCTGAAAGTGAGAGTGCAATAGCACGATCTATATCTTCATCATCAAAATCTGAAAGAGCATCCTGAAACCAAGACAAAAGATAATCCAAACAAAATAAAAAGGGGGGAAAGTAAAAGAGGTGGATTTGAGATGATGAACAATATTTTAAAATTTAAACAGGAAAATAATATAATAACTGCCCTGAGAATTATCTGAAAGAGTGCTTTAATGGCCAATGGACAAACTAGAGCCCTAAGGATGGTTTACTAACTTTGAAATGTGGATTAAACCACGTATTTAAATTGTAGCATGAATTATAGATCATCCATTTTAAGTTGAGACTGGAGCATTCCAAAAATTATCAATGCAGAAGCTATGAAGCACAAATAAAAGGGCACAACATAGACAAAGCAACACGGCATAACTACAAAAAAAACATGCAACATGCCATGGAGTTTTTTTTTTTATAATTTACTAATATAAAATATATAATATCTAGTATTCTCTACAAAAGGCATCATTCGATGAAGTATAATATCAAATATATGTACTTCATAAAAGAGCTTAACGATAACAAAAAAAAACATAATTCTTAATAAAAACATGTTTTATAACATGTGACAATTGTCACTTGTTAACAAAACTCCAACATTAGCATTTATTAATTAGTGTCACTTGGCATAATCCATTTTAAGTTGAGACTGGAGCATTCCAAAAATTATCAATGCAGAAGCTATGAAGCACAAATAAAAGGGCACAACATAGACAAAGCAACACGGCATAACTACAAAAAAAACATGCAACATGCCATGGAGTTTTTTTTTTTATAATTTACTAATATAAAATATATAATATCTAGTATTCTCTACAAAAGGCATCATTCGATGAAGTATAATATCACATATATGTACTTCATAAAAGAGCTTAACGATAACAAAAAAAAAAAACACTATTCTTAATAAAAAAATGTTTTATAACATGTTACAATTATCACTTGATAACAAAACTCCAACATTAGCATTTATTAATTAGTGTCACTTGGCATATTTTTTGTTAATATCAGTATAACTTACAAAATTTCAAAAATCTTAAGAAAACATAATATTCATATCCTCAACAAAACAATACAACAACAACAACAACAACATCAAGCCTTTGTCCCACTACGTGGGGTCGGCTACATGCATCATTTTTCTCCATTGTGCTTTGTTAAAAATCAAATTCTCATTTAAATCTAATAAAGAAAGATCATTTCTAATATTTTCTAACCAAGTCTTTTAAGTCTACACCCCTTTCTTAACATAAGTCAAATCTAATACCTCTACTTTCCTAACTAGGTCATCGGAAAGCCGCCATATTATGTGACCAAACCATCTAAGGCGACTATCTCTAATCTTATGTTCCACTCGAGCTACTCTAACATTTTTCACGTATATGCTCATTTTGTATCCTATCTCTAAAGGTAAAGCCACTCATCCACCTGAGCATCCTCATCTCTGCAACACTTAACAAGTTAACATAGTATTATGCTTCTCTTTTAATGGCCAACATTCGGCACCATAAAGCATTGTAGGTTTCACCACCATCTTATAAAATTTTCCCTTAAGTTTGAGGGGGGGCTTTTCCATCACACAACAAGCCTAATGCATTCCTCCACTTCATCCATCCAACTCGAATTCTACTGATAATATCTACATCTATTTCACCATCACTTTGAACAATAGATCCAAGATATCTAAAACGTGTACTCTTATTAATGAGTTGATCGCCCAAAGTCACAATCCCCACACTAGAATACTAGATCACTACTAAAATTACACTCCATATATTCCGTTTTAGACCTACTCAAGCGAAAACCTTTAGACTCTAAGGTTGATCTCCATAATTCAAGTTTACCTTCAACTCCCTCTCTAGTCTTAGCAACAAAAAGCATACACCAATGTACGTCCTCGACAAAACAATCAAATAAAAAATGACTATATAAGCATATTGATGTCACAAAATTAGTTAGAGTTAACACACTTAAAAGAAATAGGAGAATTAACTATCTATTACATTCCAATATTTGTGTAGTATAATACAATCCTAAAAATTCTTTTAATAAAAAAATACAAAATCAAATAATAATAATTATAGAATAATTATAATAGTCCATGGATTGAAGTATGCAAAATAATAATCACTAAAAAATTATAATAGTTCATTGATTGATGAGTAGGTAATAGGGATCACACAAATTAATGAGATGACAATAGAAGAGGACGAAAAGAGGGTGGATTGGCCAATATCTTAGAAACTATGGGTCCTACACACTCCCCATCAAGCTAATGAATGAGTGTCATACATTCCAAGATTGTTAGATGTTTTTTAAAAGAATTGTCCCTAATATTTTCTTGAGAATGACAACAAACTATTCACATGTAGGTACAGAGTACATATTTGATGACAGTCAAGAATATCCTTTATAAAGTATCTATCAACTTCAATATTACTTCCTGCAATTATATTGCATTGTATTATGGATAATAATGATGACTGACATGTTATCATAATAGCATCATAGGATATTGTCATTCAACCTTTAAAGCTTTCATAATAACTTTTAGCCATACAATTCACAAATTCCTTGTTCCATATATCAAAATTCAAATTCTCTAACGAATCTTTCTCTTATTTTTTACTTCACCAAGTCATGAGGTTGCCTCATAAGAATATGTAGTATCCTAAGGTTAACTTCCTGTCAACTATAAATCCTGCATAATATGTATTCATGTATGCTTCAAGAACCAAATCCTCTCCATTTTTAACAAAATTCCTTTGCCCAAGGTTCCTTAAAATATTGTAAAATTTTATATGCTAACCTAAGATGTGACACTTTTAAGATTGTGTATGAACTAACTCACCACACTTCAACATATAGGCAATGTAAGGTCTAGTATAACGATTAGCAAATAAGTCCTCCCACCAATCACTGATAGGAGATTTTTCTACAAAGATATATATATATAAATTGATCATCTCCAAGTTTATAATTAAATTCCATAGAGCTCTTAACAGGTTTAAATCCTAACTTAATCATTTCTTCCAACAGGTTTGTTATAAATTTTTATTGTGGTATGAAAATTACAATGGTCTTTCTTTATTAGATTTAAACGAGAATTTGACTTGTAATAGGACAAAATGGAGAAAAAGGATTCATGTAGCCGACCCCACGTAGTGGGACAAAGGCTTGATATTGTTGTTGTTGTATGAAAATTCCATTTCAAGGGTGCAACATCAATTTAGTGAAGTACTTCAGCTTTCTGAATTCTTTGACTTAAATTTTTGGAGAAATATTTTATTTAAATTCTCCATTTCTCTAAATTTGTGGGCTACGAAAATTCGGCCCCGGCCTCCGCTCGTTTTGCTTTTACTTTTTTTTTCGGGGGAGTTTTAACGGATTAAATTCCAGGGTAAATTTTGGGAAGGCAGATGGGTTTGTAGATAAGACACTACCCAAAGATTTCACCCTCATTTTGTGAGGACTTTATGATCTGAGTTCTGGTTTCCTATAGGCACAAGCCCTTATAGTTAATTACCCCTCCCGGTAACAAGAGATAACTTTCGATTAAGGCTAGTCGTCAATCAGATACGTAGATAATACGTGTTATCTAGCATATAGTAGCAGCATAGGTTTGGATTTGGGAATTGGGATTGAAATATTTGAGAAGTTTGATACTTAAAATTGAAATTTCACCATCTTGCACTTAAAGCGGATGGTGAGGGAATGGATAATGGACCCGATCAAGATCTCATGATTCCGTCGTCCCGAGCCATTGTGGTCCCTAGTCTACTTAGTCAGAAGAGGTAGTCGACCCAACCTGACAGAAGGATCCTTGTCGGCAGCCATGGATTGCTTCATCCAAGGGTACCTTATAAACATGGGATGGATATTTGCCTAAGGGGACAAATTTGAATCCACCTTAGCTAACAGATAGCTTTGTGACCTATCGATCATATTCTATTAATTCATATCTCAAGAATTTGATGCCACTAAGAATCGTATTGGCTCTGGCCATAATTGATATTTCGTGGTGCCATTTGGCGGCAAAATCACTCGGTTCAGAGGGCCCCGGGTCATAACCTTTTATCCTGTGGTGTCATTTGGCGGCAAAACCATCGGTCAGAAGACACGCACCACGTCCTTATTGACAAGAGATTGTTTGAGAATTGATCCTAGTGATATTTTCGACTAGATATTAGCTCTATATGAGTTGAAGTAAATTTTGATTTGTCCACCCCGACAAACTGTTGCGGGGGGTGAATAAATTTTGTTTTAAGTGTTTGAATGGTTGAATTTAAGTTTTAAATATCTGGATTTTGATGATTTTTGAAAGTTTAGATTTTCTGGCATTTGTGTGGCACTTGAAATATTTGAAACTAACCCCTCCGGTTGAGATTTACATTCAACACGGTCATCATCGGGGTGACCTTGAGGTCACTTGAAAAACATTTGAATTTTGTGGAGGTTTGAGGGCATTTTCATTTATGGACTGAACATTGTCAACTCTGTCATGCCGTCGACAGAGGATCGAGTTTTTCATAGGCTTTATGCCTTTGTTTATGAAATATTGAAACTAACCCCTCCGGTTGAGATTTACATTCAACACGGCCATCATCGGGGTGACCTTGAGGTCACTTGAAAAATATTTGAATTTTGTGGAGATTTGAGGGCATTTTCATTTATGGACTGAATCTTCTCAAATCTGACATGCCATCGACAGAGGATCGAGTTTTTCATAGGCTTTATGCCTTTTTTATGAATTTCTTTATTGGAGGCCTTGAAAGCCTAATATGAATGTATTAAAATAAATATACCGGTCACCACAATCGTATTTTGTTTAATTGTTCGAACCCTGTCGACTCCTATTTACCTGCTTAAAAGGATCGGGTTTTATAAGCTTTGTGCCTTTATTAGTGAATTCTCATTGTTATAGGCCTTGAAGGCCTAATATGAATGTATTAGGACAAATATATCGATCGCCACAACCGTATATTTGTTTGATGGTTCGAACCCTGTCGACTCCTATTGATCCGCATAGA